CCCGAGCGGGACCTGGACGGCGCGGTGCTCGCAGCCCCCCGCCCCCTCTGATGGCAGAGGCCGCGTCTATGAACCGCCCCGTCCTGATGCCCGGAGCGTCAGCCGCTCCCCACGCTGACCTGAACCCAACCGTGAGGATGTCACCGAGTCGCCGGGGTCCGGGGGGATCCGCCGACTTGCTAGGTCTCGTGGCTGCGGAGATTGCAGGTAACCCACCCGGGTCTCCATGGGCTACGGAATGGGACCCTGGCGCCCAGAGGCCGCACAGCGGGGCAGGGCTGCTGTGGAGACTGCACGGGGGCCTGGACCTGCAGTCTTTGCCCTTCACGTGCCTGGGTCCCCCCCATGGCCTGCGGTCCCCCGCCCACGGAGCAGCGCCGAGCCCGCCACCCCGGGCGCTCGAGGCAGCCGCTCACGAAACCACCACCAGACAGAAATGGGTGGCAGAGCGGATGCTGCCCCGGCGCGGGCACAGCACACTGCCTTGGTGCTGGCACACCCGGGTCAGAAGCCCCGGCCGGGCCCTCCTGGGGAAGTGTGGGCAACGGAGTCTGGATGCCAAGCTAACTGCGAGGTGACCGGGCAAGGCACTTAGATGTTAGGATTGAAGAGTCCCCCCGCAAAGGTCACTGCCGGCCTGGAAGCGTCACTAGGGAACATGCATGGTCCCCAAGGGCAGGGACTCTGTCCCCTGGGTGTCAGGGCGCCCCGGGACGCAACAGGGGAACAGCAGTCATGGGGGGGGGGGTTGTTTCAGTGACTGGGTGCAGTATGTGGGGGGATGCAGGGTGACCCACGCTCCTGTGACGGCAGCACAGGACACCTGATAAGGAAAGCCGGGCAGGCGAGGGCGGGGAGCTGGTGCTGGGCCTGCCTTGTCTCCCCTCAACCGCCTGGGCTGCTCAGGCAGCTGTGTGGGTGGCCCAGGGGACCGTGCTGCAGCCCTCCTGCCCCACCCCTGTGGCCCTGCCGCCTGCAGCACAGGATCGACCCAGCAGCCCCCAGGAAGTCCCAGCCCGTGGGCCAGGGTGGGCCAGGCTGCCTGCGAGCTCCCTCTGCCGAGTGGGGCAGCTTCACCCACAGACTGGGGAAACCCGCCGTTTCCCACAACTTGGAAATCAGCTCCCATTTCCTACAGACTGCCGCAAACCCGCGAGGTGATGAGCTACGAGAACCTTCTAGAAGGAAGAGCCACAGGAGCCCAGGCTGGTGCAGGCACCGTGGGGAGCTGTGACCTGCACCTCCCAGCCTCCCGCCACTTCATCCGGGGCCGAGGACGGGCCTGCGGGCAGCACAACCGCTCTCAACGGGGCTGACATGGGCGCTCCTCCCTGAGCCCCAGTCCGGGGTCTGCTTCCTGAAACGGATGGTCAGCGTCCTGGGCAAGGGGGGTGAGCGGCGCACTGCGCTCAGAGCTGCGGTCCCAGGGGTCACGGTCACGATGGGAGCGGCTGGAGATGGGCAACGACGGGCAGCTTTGTTTCGTTCCGCCCTGGGCTTGTTTCAGGAGTCAGAAATCACAGAGGACAATTTAAGAGGCATCATAAGAAAACTGACGGCAGCTCAACATCTTCAAAAATACAAAGTCGAAGAAGCTACCAGAAAAAAATACGATCTCTACACATCATCAATGTGACAAAGCAGGGCTTGCTTTGAGTGGAAAAGCATCCTTTCTTCAGTGTGAGCGTGGAATGCTTTGCTTAGCCAGCAATCCTGGCTGAGCGGCTCGATGCCCACAGACCCCAGGGAGCACCCGCTGACGGGCGCCGGGGCGGGGTGTGGGACAGTTTGCAGTGAACCTTTAGTTACTAGATTTAGAGAAGCTCGGAAATTCAGTCCGGGTGCTCCGCACCTCACCTGCTCCGCACCTCGGGGATGACCCAGCCCGGCAGGTGGCAGGTGGCAGGTGGGAGGGAAGGGGGCGGGGTCTCCCATCAGGGCCCTCAGGTGCTGAAGGGGAACCAGGAGCCGGGACGTGGGCCTGAACCCCCCGCAGGGCAAGTCACCCTTTCCCGCAAGGGAAGGCACGGATTTCCGTGTGGTCTTGCCTCGGGGGGAGTCCAGCAGTTCCTGGCCAAATGGGGGGCATTGAGGGAGGGTCTAGGGGAGCGAGTCTGGCGTGAACGGGCTGTTGGGTGGGGCGAGGCTCGAGGGCACCCCGACAGCTTGGGGAAATGACAGCAGAGCCCCCCCCAGCCAGCCCCCCCCCCCCAGCGCTCTGCAACTTCTCCTCCCGGCCGAGGAGGTGGGTGTTTACAGATGGCAAAACAGGGAGGCACAGAAGGCGTCCCCGAGTCACAAGGCAGGAAGTGAAGCAGCAGGATCTACACCCAGGCCACGGCCCTGCGGCCGGCGTGAAGTCACTCCCTGACCGTGCAGGGGCAGGGGCAGAGCGGGGATGGTGTGTGCCTGGAGCCCCAAGAGTAGCTCTGCACTTCCCGGGTGCAGCTGCCCTTTGGGGACTGAGGGGCGGGCGGGTGCTGTGCACGATCCCCATAATCCAGTGCCAAACCCAAACCGTGGGATTCTTTAAGTGTATGTCACACTTATGAAAGATTCTAATTTTAATTCATTCCAGGCATTCTGTAGCTAAAACTTCACATTTGCAGCCGTTCCTGCGACCGATTCTCATAGAAATGCACAGATATCAATTATTTACAAATAGTGACGTCAAGTGTTTGAAAGTGGACGCTTTTGGGATGACACAGGGCACCTACCTACGCTCTGCTCCCTTAAGTGGTTTAAACATTTCCTCTGAAATCTTTATGTGATAAATATTATTAATGTCCCGGTGATGCCTTTTTGAAAAATTGATAATGCGATCAAATCTCAATTAAGCTCTGGAGCACTGCACGCTCACGGGCGCTGCCCCGAGTGTGACGAGGAGCCCTCATTCCGAGGACTTTGCTGCCCCGCATCCGGGGCCTGGCAGAGCCCCTCGCTACAAGCGGTCATCAGGGGTCCGTGTCCTGTAACAGGAGCCAGCGTCCAGGTGGTGCCGGGCTTGTCTGGCTGGAAGAACCAGAGCAAACGTCCCCGATGGCACCCCCACTTCTGTGTTGACTGGGGGGTGGTGTGAGCTCATGCCAGGGAGCCACGTCAGGGCCACGGTGGCAGGTGTTGTGCATTGTCCTTTCCTGGGACCTCGGGGGCAAGGCCCTCGGCAGGAGGTAGGTGGCTCCGCTTGGTGGCCAGGAGCTCAGCCTTCTGCTTCCTCCACTGGGACCCTGGGGGCCACCCTAGCCACCCCCAGGGCAGGAGGAGGCGCTGCCTTCCTGCTCGCTGTAGCCACCAAGGGGTGGATGTGGATGTGGGTGTGCAGAGCCCCATTCTACTGATGAGAAACTGAGGCCAGGGGAACCTAGGGAATCCACCACTGGGTACTGAGAGCTACAAAGCTCGTGGAGACCTGGCCCCTCCTCATGCCCTTAGGCTGAGGGAGACCCCCCGCTGCTCGCTCTCCTCCAGGGCCAGGGCACCCGGGGCAGGCACCGCCTTCCTCTCTGCACCCCAGGGCCCCTCTCCCGGCACGGTGGCCGCTGCTCCCCGCGACCTCCCGTCGTGCTGATCGGAGTTTGGTTAAATACAGCACGAGGTTCCAGAACGGGGCACGGGGCCACCTTGGAAGGACCGAGCCCCCGCTCCTCACAGAGACCTTCCCCTCCAGTGAAACCACCACCGTCCTCGGTGGACGAGTGAGAACCACACGCTCACGCTGAGGAGAGGACAGCGGGCGCCGCTCGCGCCGGGGAGGGTCTCCGGCCCGTGCCTGCGGGGTCCTCGCCTGACTCGGAGGGGCTCCGCCGACCCCTCTGCCATCCTCTCCCAGTCCCCAAGGACTCTGGGGTCCTTGCCCGTGGCAGTCCTCGCGGCGCCTCTCCACGTCACGTGTCAGTCTAGCACCAGGCGCTACTCGGCGGCCGCTCTGCCATTCCTGGCTCTGGACTCGGGCTCTGCTCCCCGCGTGCCGCACCGCGTGCTCGGGGCACAGCCCTGCCTGTCGAGAGGCCCCCCCACGTCTTCTGTCTCTAGGTCACGGGGGCAGATGAAACCCCAGCCCCGTCCCCCAGTGCCTCATCACTCGGGGGAAGACGCTGCTGTGCGATTGCCTTCAAGCATGTCTGTCCAAGATCAACCCAAATCCTCTGGATAGAACAAAAATTGTGTTTCCCAAGAAAGAGCTACAGCACACAGGCCTCACTTCCACTGCACGCGGTGCCTGAATTCCCCAGGATGCCCTGCAGCCACAGGCTCCACAGGCTTGTCTGCGGCCAGGTGCCCCTTCCTCCACAGCCTGCCCTGTCCTCGTGGGAGCAAGGCCTCTGCAAGACGCCCCTCCTCGGGCCCCTGCCCTTCCGGCCACCCTCGTGCACCGGCCACGGCCACTCTGATCTTTCTGAAAAGCCACTGCCCACTTACACCATCACCGCTGGAGAAAGTCCAAGAGAGCCCGTTGGAGCGTGAATACCCTTCTTCTTCTGCTGCGGCAGGGCCGCGCAACCCCGAGGCGTCCTCCTGAGATGTCCTTGCAGGACACAATGGGTTTCTTTCTTGAGCAGACTTCCTCCCGCTCTGGGACCCCCCCCCCAGCCACCCCCGCTGCCCAGGCCCTGCCCAGAGCCAGCGCCGAGGGCACACGCTGGCTGGCCTGCCCCCGCGAGGCCCCCCCGTCCCTGAGCCCCCCGGGGATGCTCTGGGCTGTGCCTAGTGCTGCACACCACCCAGAGAAGAGCTGGGTGTTCCGTGCTGTTTAAAGAGGAGTCTGCGTTTCAGAACGTAGGTGTACGTACGTGAGGTTCATTGCTGTTGGTATGAATCATAGGGAAAGCTTAAGGACACCATTTAAAAGTGATGTTCTAATAAAAAAAAGCAAATACTTAACCATAAGCAGGGATTCCCTCTAAGTGCAGGAGCAGAGCCCCAGGCACCTGGGGGGTGTGGGGGGTCCTGCCGAGAGCCCCGCCCCGAGTGCTCCTCGCTGACCTCGCCATGGCACTGACCTGTTTTTCTGAGCGGGAAGTCATCTTTGGTGTCGTACATTCCCAGGACCGGGTGGTTGTAGGAGGCCGACACCCCGCTCTGGGGCGGGGAGCTCTGGTCGAGCGAACTGTGCTGTGTTTTCCTGGAGAGAAGAGGCCAAGACAGACGGTGAGTTAGGCAGGGGTGGACTGCGGACGCCCGGCGGACACATCGCCCCATCAGCTCCGCCGCCTCCTCTCTGGGGCGAGGCTCAGATGCGACCAAGACCACCGCTGAACGTGGGAAACGAGGCCGAGCCCGGAGACACGGGAGCAGGGGCCCGTGCAACGCCCGGCGGTCACCTGTCACCGGCTCCTCTTGGGGCCGTGGCACGGCTGTCCCCTGGCCCTCAGGCCGCAGCCAGCCACAGAAGGGCCCATCCTGGGGCAGACGAGGCCGCTGCGTACAGGACCAAAGGTGCAGACATGTGGGGCGCACCGGGAACAAGCAGTAGGTAAGTCTGGGGTCCCCAAGGGGACCTCCGTTCAGCAGGAAAGACCCAGGGTTTGTATGCACCCTCAGAGGAACAAACGCCCCTCCTCACCCCGCCTCCCTGGGGGGTCGGTGGCAGTCACCAACCTCTTGTGCCTGGACGTGCGACCCCCCCACCAGCAGGCACCCCTCAACGTCCTTAAAATGGCGAGACCGGATCTGCCGGGAGGAGGCTGGGGCACGGGGCGCTGCTGGCCCCGGGAGGACCGACCATCCGCGCCTTCCTGGAAGCACCCACCCGAGGTGTAATGGATTCTGTTGAGTCTTTAAACTGTGTAATCTGCTTAATGACTTGAAACAAATTTGCCAACTTACTTATTTGGAATTTGTTAGACTATTTATTTGAATACACAGTGCTCCGTAGCCATGCACCTGGTGTTATTTGAATTGAGACTGTGAGCTCTTAAACGCTTACAGGTGGGTATTTAAATATTTGAGAGCAAACTCGTGCGGAGAATGTGCTGATCAGAGGCCCAGCCAACGAGCCCGGCCCGACATCTGGGCTGCGGGGCCGGCCAGGCTGCGTAGCAGGAAGGAGCTCCCGCTCCCGGGACAGGTGCACCCACGCGCCTGCACCCGCGCCACGGGGTCACCTCCGCAGGCAGGAAGCCCTCCCGTCACTGTGGCTCCCCGCCTCGAGGACATTCCCCGACAATCTCATTAACGCTCTGAGGGCAACACGGTCTCGCTACCAAGTCCCATCCTCCGAGGTGTCCTCGGGGGGACGTGGCCTTGGCCAGCCGCACACGTCTCGGTGCCAAGTCACCGTCTGGGAGAGAAGGTGCCTTCTCTTTGGCGAGCAATGGGGGAAGATCTGTGCGTGCGCTATGGGAGCCCAAAGTACGAGCGGTGGTTATGGGTAGAACGTCATCATAAATAACAACTGCTCCTCTTGGGCTTACATCGTACACCGTTTACGATGAAGCTGCGAGCTGGAGAAGCTGTATTTGTTCAGGAGCTAAGAGGTCTTCTCTTCCAGTTTGATCTCTGGAGATGCTGTCGGTGTGAAGACCCCCCTGCTCTCGGGGGGCCTTCAGAGCTGCAGCAGGAGCCCTGGCCCGGGCTCGAGGCACCCCTGCATCGCCCCGGGGGAGGGTCTGAGCCAGGGCACCTGCGGCTGCTGCACTCACCCCACTGCCGTGCTACGGCCACATCCAGAGACTGTGAGGGAGTGACGCCCGTCACCACAGCAGACCCCAGGGCCAGAGTCATCCCCAGGCACCTGCCCCCACCCCCCCAGCAGGGCTGCTGTTCCACCCGGACGAGTGCGTGCACCCCAGGAACGGGGACCCGAGGGTGAGCCAAAGTGAAGTCCTGTCGCTGGCCGCATGTGCACCCCACACTCACAGGCTCTCACGCTCACAGCCTCACACACTGACACACTCAGCGCACCCCACCCCATACACACGCTGACACACTCACGCTCTCACTCACAGACCCTCACACCCACACCCCTGCCCACAAACCGGGGCGGCTCCCAGCCCCTCCCCAGGGCCTGGCAGGAGGCAGCGGGCGGCACCTGTGCCGGGACCGGGAGGACGGCGACGCCTGGTCTTCAAGGCCGCGCTTACTGAAGCGGGAAACCAGTGCTGCTCCGTTTTCCTGCTCAGCCCTGCGTAGGCCGTAACACGGAATAAAGCCCAACACGCGTCCAGCCACGGAGACTCCGTCATTGATTGGCCTTTCCTCTTTTCATGGGGGGAAATTCACAGGTTTCCACAAGTGACAGATTCACGCAAGTGACAAACAGAACGTGGACTCGCTTAACCAGCCCCGCCCAACCCAGGGCGATGTGAGTCACACGAGCGACTTCAACGGTAAGCGGCCACGTCACAGTGAATAAAAACAGCCACGCTGCGGTCAGTAAGCTCCGTGCCCCACACACCCCGCAGCCATCACCCCGCAGCCATCAAGCTAAACGTTGCTCCTGAAATGCTTCACGGTCTTTCCCCCGTGCCGAGGCTCGGCAGGCAGGGGTCTGGCACCTGCGGGGCACCTGGTCCGAGCGTCCCCGTCTCCGTGCTCAGACACACGTGGTGGGGCCGCCATGGCAGTAAGGACACGGAGCAGGGTGTCCCCACGGACACAGCCTCTGCCATTCAGTGGGCAGGCTCCGCGCCCCCAGCCCAGCCGCCGGCCGGCCGTGTCTCCGGCTCAGTCGTGCCGACTCCCGAGCTTCGTCCCAGAGCAGGGCTCCGCGTGGCTCCTCTCTGAGCGTCACGTCTCCCGCGTTCACCTGCTGCTCTGGTCCTTCGGCGCTGACGCCTACGGCGGCTGTGACCACGAGAACACGAGTCCACGTGCACAGCACTAGCACGAGAACGAAGGGGTAGGGGGACGTTCGCCTTCATGAGAACCGCTCGAGCGTTTTCAGCTGCCTGCGTGCGAGTCCACGGGCTCCACACCTTCACCGACGCCTGGTTTGCTAAACTTCCGCCGTCCCAGTGGGCGTGAGGCTCTGGTCTGCATGTCCCTGCTGGCCAGCGATCTTTTCACAGACTGGCTCTGTGTCTATCTTATTTTCTGAAGTAGAAGTTCAAACCTTCCACTTGTGTTTTTCTCAGTAGATCACTTGTCTTCTTATTGAGTTGTAGGAGCTCTTTATATATTTTGGATACCAGCACTCTGTCGGGCACAGGCATCGTGAATACCTTCTTCCAGTCTGTGGTTTGCCTTATTATTTTCTTAACGGTGCCTCTGAAAGAGCAGTTTTTAGTTGTGACGAGGTGCACGGCTGGAGTTCTTGGCTTACACTGGGTGACTGCGGTGTCCTCAGAACTCTGTCCCCCTCCACCCCCAGGGTGTGAGAACTTCTATGTTTGCTTCCAGGGGTTTTAGCTTTCGTGTTGGGGCTGACGGTTGTGCTGATGACTGTGGGCGCAGTGAAGCTGGGGTCAAAGTTCCGTTCCCCGCCAAGGCCCAGTGTCCTGGCCGAGCTTGTGCCAGGGCAAGGGGATGTGACAGCCTTTCCGTGAGGCTGGGTATAGGGTGACAAAACAAGGCAGCTGCCAAAGTCGGTGCAAACAGACCTGGCCCCTGGCTGACTTCCCCACGTCCGGCCTGCGTGCCCCACATGCCTCTGAGGGAGCTGAACCCAGGGCAGGCCCGAGGGCACGAGCCCTGCTCACCGGGGAGCAGCTGGGTCAGGCCCTCCTGGGACCCCCCAGCCCAGCCTGAAAGCACCCACCCTCCCCATCTCCCCCTTCCCTGCTCCCAGGAGCTCCTCCCTCCATTCCAGCCTCTCCCTGCAATGCTCCCTTGCTGCCGGGGCAGGAGGTGATGCGCTGTCCCAGCCCTGGGCTGCGTCTGTCACCTCTGAGCCCCATCAACCCAGAGAGGGGCTCCTCTCCAGCCAGGGGTCCCCCGCCCCAGCCTCCTTCCCACCCACTCACCAGGGAGCCTGGCACCAATGTCCCTCCACCAGCCGAGAACTTCGAGGTGGTCACCCCATGACTCCCACTTGTCAGCACACGGCCTCCCCCAGGCTGACCGTCCCCCAGCGTCCACCACCCCACCTCCCTGCAACGACCCTCTTCCAAAGGGCTCCTGTGCCTCCCCGCCTGCCGACCCCGACCCTGGCTGCTACTAACCGCTCTGCCCCAGCAGGTCCGCACCTCCACCCTCTTGCCGCCTTCGCAGGCCTGTGGTCCCTGGTCCCCCCAGTGCGTCCCAGTCGGAGGCCCCGTCCCCCGCTCGTCTTCCTGCGGTCTTCAGCGCAAACCCCACGGAGACAATCTCAGCAGTTACCCAACCTGCTCTCCTCGGGGTTCATCCCCCAGCCGGCCCGCTCACAGCGTTTCTAGGGAGTCCTGCACGGCTTTCCACGGACGCCGCTGCCCCCGCTCTGCGTGGGGATCGTGTCACTGGCTGAGCCGTGTGCGCGCCAACAGCACGTGCAGGCGTGACCGCGGCGTGTAGTGGGTGCGCAGGGCAGAAGGCCAGCGGTCTGTGCCTTGGAACGGAGGCGCCTCTATGTACCGGGACACGTGGGGTCATCCCGGTGACACTGGTGGTGCTTGACTTAGTACAAACAGTTGCCCACGTGGGAGCTCAGGTATAGATGATATTTTTCCCCAATAAAATGAAGGATAAGCATATTTTGATTCATGAAAACGACCCTATGGGTTTTCTGTGAGAAGTGAAATTACCCTTGCAAAGGGGCGGGGGGGGGGGGGTGGGACAGTATTTCCAAGCAAAACCTACGAAGCACCTTTGCGCGTTGTGTCAAGCCACAGGCACTCGCCCCTCGGTTCCGGGGCCCGGGCCGTGGCCAGCCCCTCTGCAGCGAGCTCGTGCTGAGGCCATCCCGCGGCCCGCGGGCACCGTCACTGACCTCTTGCAAGGCCGGGCAGCCCTCTTCAGCTGTTGGCGTGAACAAGGCTCTCTGGTGGCCTCCGTCCATTATGCCCGCTCTGGGAAAAGGTTCCCAGCGTAAAAATAAAACATGCCATGGATGCTGCGGACTTACCCGGCAGTCACTAAAACACAGGGTTGACATTCAGTAGGTCTCCAGTAGGACACTGGAGACCAGGCTGCAGCTTAAGTGGACCCTTTCGTGGCCAAAATATATAGTGAGAAGAGTGACAGCCAGCTGGCCCCACGTGCCTCCGTCGGTTCATTTAAAGACGGGCGCCTCTCCGCCTGGATGGCCGCCGTGTGCATGAACCGCCGGGATGCATCAGGTCCCCGGGACCCGTGGTTGGTACGGTGCTTAGACAGCCGATCAGTCCACACCCCCCCCACCTCACGGGGTGAAAAACTGGGGGCCACTCGGCCCCAGAGAGGAGGCCCCAGGGCCCTTGCACACCCCCACTTACCCGTACCAGTAGCGAGGGTCGCTGGAGATGCAGTGGTTCAGGTTCCGGTGGGCCAGCGCCTTCTTTTTATTGAGGACAAACTCCTGCAGCTTCATCTTCACTTCCGTGCTGGCCACCGCACCTGGCACAGGAGAAAGTACACACAGGTGACTGGGGCTCCGGGCCGGGCAGGCGGAGGGGGACACGGGGCCGTGCACCCGGGACGGGCGCGGAGGCCCGGAGACGGGCCAGGCAGTCTAACTCGGGATGCTGCTGACGCCTTGACGGCCTCTCCAAGGAAGGACAAGGACAGAAGTTCTAATAGGAGGCCTCCCTCCCGTGAAGGTTTTACATGATTGCACTCCGCCTAAGACGCAGAAGTAATCAGCATAAAGACGTACTGTTACCTAACACAGAACGGCGCTGGGGAAGTTAATAATGTCACATAAAAGAACATCCTGAATTAAGCGCTGGCAGCACGGTGCCTGCTCTCACTGGAGCCGCGGCAGCAGAGTCTGGGGAGAAGGCTGCGTGCACACCCACGGCCGCTCCCGCGCACGCACTCTGACTTGGTTTCCGCTCGTGGCAGGGGGGCTGCCGTCCCTCCCCGCGCCAGGCCTACCCTTAGGGCCGTGCCAGGCGGCCCCGCGCGCCTCAGAGCCCCAGCCAGCGCGCCCCCACACCCCAGGCTCTGCCCTCGGCGCCGCAGCGGCCCTGCATCCGCCCTCCCGCGTGTGAGCGGCTAAGTGTTTCCTGTTGTTGTGCAGAGTCCAGCCAGGATCCCTAATGGTGGAAAAACACTTCAGGAGGTGAGCAAAGCACAGTTCACATTCCACAGGACCGTTTTCTGACGGCAAAGCATTTGCAGATCCTCCGTCTCTGTTCGTGCTGCCGTGAACACTTACGAGCGGACATTGTTCGTATTTAGGATTTGCTTGGGAAAGATCAACACAATCGATACAGCTGACAGAAGTAACGTTATAGCCCTCGAAGCACCCTCTGATCCCTTTCCACATCGCCTTCCTGTACTGACCGTCATGTGCCACTCACGGGCGGGCACCCCGCGTCTTCCTGAGGGTTCGGGATCACCACGTGACCCCGTGTCTCCGGCCCTCACTCTTTGGGATCCCTATACAGCCCTGCGCCTCTATCAGTATTTGGGATCACCACGTGACCCCGTATCTCCGTCCCTCACTCTTTGGGATCCCTATACAGCCCTGCGCCTCTATCAGTATTTGGGATCACCACGTGACCCCGTGTCTCCGGCCCTCACTCTTTGGGATCCCTATACAGCCCTGCGCCTCTATCAGTATTTGGGATCGCCACGTGACCCCGTGTCTCCGGCCCTCACTCTTTGGGATCCCTATACAGCCCTGCGCCTCTATCAGTATTTGGGATCGCCACGTGAACCCACATCTCTGTCCAACAGTGTCGGGATCACCATGTGACTGTCTTCATCCGTCCTGGGGACTGTCACTTGCTGCTAATGGGAAGGGTAACTGACATTCACCATGTCCCTGATAAGTATCCGGGCAAGCAGTCACCTTTCCCTCTCGTGATACACCTTTATGTCCTCGGTTTATTTTTCTTTCAGAGAATTCGCGTGGTTTGTTTGGTGGCGGTGCTGTGGGTCTGTGTGTGGGTCTGTGTCAAGTGTATAAATGTTTATCCACTTGAGCTGTATGTTTTATGGCAATAAATCTACCATGAGCCTACTACACGGCAGGTCTCACACATTTAAAATTCCCATTAACACTGTAAGTGGGCATCCTCACCCTGGAGCGGTCTGGGGGGGCATGGAGGGTCGGGGCGCCTCGGGGCGGCAGGGTCTAACGACGCCGCTGGTTCCAGGGCCCCGGCTCTGACTCCTACTCCTCTACTTCTGTGGGCAGGCCTCTGCCCTGCTCTCGTTTCCTTTTAAAACGTGGATGATATCCTGAATGTGTGAGACGCTACGTACGTGCACGTGAGCGTACACATGTGTGCTTATGAATATAAACACATGCACCTATATACCTGGCCCCCCGCCCCTGGCACTGAGCTCCTAAAGCCCTTGTACGTTCCTAAATGATAAGAACACTAAGGACACCTCTTGATCTAACGTGGCGGCTGGACTCTCAGGTGGCTCCTGGACAGGGCGGGTCCCCAAAGACCAAGCCAGGATTAGAAGCTGGGAACCTTCAGCCCCATTGTGTGTGTGTGGGGGGGGGGAGGGGAAATGGGGACTGGAAATGGAGTTAACGACCGGTCATGAGGAAGCCTCCATACGGTCCCAGCAGATGGGGTTCGAGAGCTCTCCATGTTGGCAGACACGTCCACGTCCTGACAAGGTGACCCCAACTGCCCAGGGACAGGAACTCTGGCGCTCGGGACCTGCCCGGACCTCGGCCTGTGTACACTTCACCTGGCCGCCCCTCTGTGTCCTTTGTCACATCCTTTAAGAACCTAGTAAACCGAAGTAGGAACCTCCCTGAGTCCTGAGAGCTGTTCTAACGAATTAAACGAAGCCAAGGAGGGGGGGTGTGGACTCGTGTGACCCACAGCCGGTTGGTCGGAAGCACAGTGGACAACCCGGACTGGCACCTGGCGTCCAGAGCAGGGGGCCGACTCAGGACGGGACGCTCCCCGTGGGGGTCTGACACCCCAGGTGGGCAGAGTCGGAACTGGCTGGCCTGGAGGACCGCCTCGGGTGGCGAGGCCCCGCTGGGAGGGAGGACTGTGCAAGTGCGGCTTTCAGGACAGCGTGACTCGGTGCGCAAGTAAAGGACAAGCACAGCAGGAAAGAACGGGACCTCCCCCAGCAAAGGAAGGGGCACTGGGATTTCCCCCCATCTGACATCCACGTGCGTGTTTTCGCGTAGCCTGCCCCAGCGTTCCCGCCGGGATCTTTTCCATTTCCTGGGAGCTTGGAGGCTGATCCTTTCGCTGGTCGGATACACGATCCGTTTTGTTTCACTCGTGTTTCTCTGGTGCTGCCGGTGCATTCATCCAGCTGCTTGCTGTTGCTGGTTTTCCACGTTTCTCTCTGATACACGGGAAATGGGCTTTGGTGTAGGAGACTCGGCGGATACTTTGACAAATTGCTCATAGGTTGTCAACGTCCCTGCCAAACAGCCTTTCTTGCCACTGTTACCGCCCCGAGGATGCGTCTCATTCACAAACTGACTTCGTCTGGCTGTAGGTGTGTCTGCGTTCCCCGAGGCAGCGCACCCCGCAGTGGCGTCACAGAGGCCCTTCTGTGTGTCGTGGGCCGCGGTGGACGGCCCCAACCCCGGGGGACGGGTCCTCCGCAGCTGCAGCGCGGCCTGAATGAGCTCATCCAAGGGGAACACAAAGAAAGTTCACTAAACCGACTGCAAAGCACCTTCAGAAGCTCCCATCACAACACATGGGCTTTTGTCTGGGGCCTTCCCAGGGTCCGAGGAAATGACCCCATCAGCGCATGAGGAGAGAGGCTCCCCAGGGCCCCGTGTGAGCCGAGCACCCGGCGGGCGGAGGGCACACAGGATGGACACGGCCAGGCCGAGGGAGGTGCCCAAAGGCCCCCCCGTCACATCTGCTTCTGAGCATCGCTGCTCAGCGCCCTCCGAATGCAGCGAGCGTCGGGCCGACACAGATCGGGACACCCGGGGCCCATGTTTCCTGCCTGCAGTGGACTCAGGAATCGCACAGACTCGGAGGGTCTGCTTATAACACACCTGGAGACGCGGTCACCTGGCGCTCCTGACGGCGCAGCGGCACCAGGCGCACGGCCGAGAAACCATGCCAAGGGTTAGCCATGTGGGGACACGATGTGCCCGGGGACACCGGGAGCGAGAGGTGACTCAGGGCGGTGGGGGGACGCAGGAGCAGGGCGCGGCGCGCGGCACCCCAACGGGGAAGCACAAACTTGCTGATCCGTGTGTGAGCTGAGGGTAAGCCGCTCAGAGAATCACGCATAACGGGGAGCCCGGGTTCCCCCTCTTTGGGCGCTGCTGCCGCGGGAAGGGATCAGACCGCCCGGGAAGAAGGGGACAGGGGGAGGACCCAGCGGAGGAGAAGATGCCCCCCGGCCTTCAAAGCTGCTGTTCTGGGCGAGTGCACAGCGCAAAGCAGGACAAGGAGAGCTCGCAGCCCCCAGTGTCCCCAGCAACACCGCCCTCAGCTTCTCAGGGAACCCGTCTCCACAGGAGGGATGCCTGGGATTCCCGTAGCACTTGCGGGACAGGCCGAGCCCAAGGACCCTGTCCGGGAGCCTCTGACCCTCTCCCCGCTGGCAGCACGGGCCCTGGAACTCAGGGGGCAAAGGATAAACCCCATCCCAGCAGGCAGGGCATGAGATAAACCCCAGTGACAGGCAAGATGTGGCCGGGGGCAGCTGACCCCCGGAGGGGACACCGACCCTGTCACCGCCTGGGGCTGGTGCCTCCTCAGCATGGGCCAGGACTTGTCCCCTGAGCTGTGCCGCATGACGACGGCTCAGGGTGGGGCAGGCACCTTACCAGGCTCTCTCGGGACCAAATCCAGAAAAGCCCACCTTGGGCACCTGGGGGGCTCAGCGGTTGAGCATCTGCCATGGCTCAGGGTGTGACCTCGGGGTCCCGGGATCGAGTTCCGCATCGGGCTCCCTGCATGGAGCCTGCTTCTCCCTCTGCCTGCGTCTCTGCCTCTCTCTGTGTGTCTCTCATGAATAAATATATAAATTCTTAAAAAAAATTTTAAAAAGAAAGAAAAGCCCACCTCCCCAAACTCAGGAAGGTTCCTTCCGACGTCCCTGACATGTCAGGCCAAGTCCTCTCTACCAGAGACGGCAGATGGAGACATGGTCACAAGGGTGGGACCCCTCAGGGCCCTCCCGGCCCCTCCTCCCAGGGACGATGGCATGGGGGGGGGACTGGAGAGCAGCATGTCCCCCCACCTGCAACAGGTGTGGCCGCAACCCCAAGGACACAGGGCCAGGGCAGCTCCACTCGGGGCACCACGGAGGCCCCTCCTTCTCCGAGCTTCACAGGAGGGGATTCCAGAAAGAGCATCACCCCCGTAGCCGGGTCCTCATCTCCGGGGCTCCCGCACTTCGTGTCCTTCCTGCGGCTACTGTCCATCTGCCCGCGTGCACGGAATCCCCGCGCTCTTAATTCTAACCCAGTAGGCCTCGCGGAGCCGCTCTTCTGACACTTCCGGGAACACTGATTGAGAACAGTTTTCTCCTCTCCTTTTTTTTTTTTCTTGTAAGTTTGCATTTTCATCCCGGTGAGCATCCAGGGTGCCGCGTTAGCTCCCAGGGCCCCGAGCAGTGGCTCCACACTTCCTCACACCCCCAGCGCTCACCCAGGGTCCCCCCACCTTAAATCCAAGTCACAGAGTCCACGGAACACATGCCACACACAGATATCCAAACATCTCTAAGTTTTTCTTAAAAAACAATAATAATAATTCCTGGTAAAAAAAATTTTTTTTAAATAATAAAAAAAATAATAATAATTCCTGCTGCTTATCAGGACGGAGCTGCCGGGGTCTGACCCGGTCGGGTGGCAGGAGGGGCCGTGCAGGCGGGCGGAGCGGGACCTCCGGGGCTCAGGAGGGGACGGGGTCTGCACGCCACCCATCGGGATTCACCCACTTTTCTTGTGCCCACCTCCCGTCCAGCCTCCCGGCCTCAGAGGAAGGCCCGATGTCACTGATGCGACATAGAATGACTTTCTGGACCAGGTGTTGGATCTTTTCACTTTCACTCCAGCCTTTTGGTTTTTGTTTCTTTTTTTTTTTAAAACAAAGTGAATGATTGGGCCGCGCTTGTAAACAGCAGCAAGCAGGCCCGACATCACTGATGCGACATAGAATGACTTTCTGGTCATCAGGTGTTGGATCTTTTCACTCCAGCCTCTTGGACCTTTTTTTTTTAAAAAAAAAAAAAAAACAAAGTGAATGATTGGGCCGCGCTTGTAAACAGCAGCGAGCAGGCAGGTCGCCGCGTCCGCCCCAGGCTGCTCCCAGAACAAAGACTCGCCTTCTGCAGGATTCTCCTTGGAACCCGAGTGTCTTAGATTCCTAAATGTAGTTCGTCTACGTAGAACTGACCTGACTAAAGATCACGTGTCCGTGCTGCGTGAGACGGAATGGCACCAGTTCTAAGAATTCACTGTTCTTTCGAGCGAAATAGCATTAACTGGTATCAATCAGCAACGGAAAACTGCGGGATTATTTAAAATCAGAAATACTGTAAATGTTTACGAATGTAACAAAACTTTAATTAAATACTCAATAGGAAATTCCCTTTCTAAAAAACCCCAAGAAACGACACAGATGCCTTGCACTGCATTTGCAAATGCTCACAACTGGGAGACGCCCCGGGCCATTTGCATTCCCCCACAAACGCCCTTTTGCTGGGGCACACAAGGCTCTCGTTCATAGGGCCCAGCCCGCCCGCGGCCCCGCTCACATAAGAGCCCCCGAGTGGCGTCCACCACAGCGGCCTGCCAGGCCTGCCTCCTCACAAGACCACACTCAGGGCTGCAAAGCCTACACGAGCGTGCCAGATACCCAAACTGTACACAGTTTATTATTAATAATAAAACCTGACCACCCAAATCCACAAACTGAAAACCACCAGGGTTGCTGCTAGTGACGAGCGTGGAGGGAAGCGGAGAACATTCCAACGCTCCACTTGGGGCGGGGAGGATGCTTGGTAGGTGGTGCAGAAATTGTTTTTGACGTGTAAACAGATCTGAAAGGTTTTCTGAACTCCAATCTTTTCACATTTTGTGAGGCTTAAGATGTTATTTTTATTGGAAGATTCTGGTAAACTACGAGGAACTAATTTAGCCCAAGCTGCTTTTTAGCAACCTGAAAACCTGGTTATTTGCTGGTTACTTGCGGCACGCTGCAACCAGCTGATACTTAGAGTTTTAACTTCCATCCTTAGGTAAACAGCGGCTTCCTTACTCCAAAGCAAAACACACTAAGGAGGGTGCGCGGTGAGGCCCAAAGCACAGGAGCTGGACAGGGAGCAGGACCCAAGGCAGAGGCCGCGCTGTGTGCAGCCCCGCCGCGGCTCTGGCCCCCAGGAGCAGCCCCTCTCGCAGGGCTCCTACGAGGCCCAGGTGCTGTCATCTACGGGGACGGGTCTGCAGAACAGGAGGCAGCCCCCAAGGCCGGCGGCCGAGCCCGCTGGTAGTCGGACTCCCAACACGGAGCGAGAGGACTCTCCTGGGCCGCGCACCAGGAGGCGGCAGGGAGCTCCAGACGTGACGGTGCTAGAGCCCACCCTCCACTGCTGAGCAGCGCATGGGGCACCCGGGGGACGGACGCCACGCGCCAGCCAGGAAGGTCCCTTGACACGGAGGAGTCCGCACACCCCACACCCAGGCAGTGGCTGGGCCGGCAGGGGCTCTGTGCCCAGGGAGCGTCATCGCGCCAGCGGGCTGGGCAGCGGGGTGACCCCTGTGACCCCCACCCGCCCCATCTGCAGCCCGAGCGTGCAGGGTGCCAACCCAAACCTGCAATTTAGTTTCCCCTGATGGCCTTTTGTCCTCGTGCGTGGAGTCTCGCCTGAGGGCAAGCACAGCCCGCGGGCCGCCACCTCATCCCGCAGGGGCGATGGCACGGGGTCCGCTGCTCAGACCTAGTAATTACTTTCAAGTATCTATGAAAAATTAGATCTCACGCGGAGTAAAAACTCTCCTGATTTGCTTCCTACCTTGGAAGTCTACCAAACCATTAAAATAAAAGTACATTTGAAGTATATCGTTTCAACGGTAAGATACGCCGTAGCAACTAATGATCATAAAAGGTATCAAACCAATCACTAAAAACTTACAAGTAGGTAAGCGGAGACACAACTGAACACGGAAAGAACACACCGGCTGTGTGTTTCGGGGAAAAAAGAACAGCCTTTCTGCAAGAGAATGCGTACACACACGTGCCCGATCCGCGGCACGACACACGGGCGGGCTGCGTCCTGACCCGGGTCCAGAGGAGACGGGTGGGTCGGGCGGCACGACGAGCGGGACCCCGCGCTGTCAGGCAGGTGCCACCCGGCGGGGAAACGGAGCGACGCGCGTCTCCGGCAGAGGGCTCGGGGCCAGAGCGTGAACTGAACAGCGCTCCCCACCCTGAGAAGAGGGCGACACCCCGCCGCGAAGACGAGGGGGAGACAGACGAGCAGCAGGAACTTGACAGGAGACATGAAACAGGCTGAGCCTCGGTGGCTAAGGCCCCCGGGGTCGGCGCTCCCAGCAGAACCGGCTGACGGCCACGGGTGCTGCTGGGGACGCGGGACACGGGCGCTGCCCTGCAGGATGGGACGGCGCCTGGGGACTGCCCGGCCTCACCTCTGAAAGGGGCAAGTGCCATCCCTCAGGTTGGGCCACGCCCCCTCACACCTGCCTCCACACCAGGAGACGGCACCGTCCCCGACGCTCCGGTTAGGAGGTTAGGAACCGGGCAAATCCCCAGCAGCCGCAGGACGAAGAACCTTGAACTTCGGGGTGTGCCACGAGCGGGGATGGAGCAGCAACCATCAGCAGACCCGCCACACGGGACACAAGGACACGAGGCACGAGCGGGATGTCGAGTGAGAGAAGCACGAAATCCTACATATTGGCAAGTCCGTCCATATAAACTTCAAAAGCAGCTGTTAGGTTTGGGGGGGGGGGGGGACGACAGGTAGTTTGGGAAGGAGGGGGCAGGGCCTGGAGGGCCCGGGGCCGGATGCTGCCCCCGTCCTGGTCCGGGGCTTTACCGGGAGGCCAGCCCGTGAACTGTTCCCTGCACGCTGAAGGGTGTGCCCTGATGTGCACCGTACACCAACATGGAAGGTTCCCAAATAATTTCAAATAACGGACTTGACAGGGACACTTTACAACACCTCGTGCTGCTGTGCGTACATGGATTAGAATCTAAACGCCAGGCTGTTAAGATGGTTGGTCTCCGTGGCCTACCACCCTCAGTAGCTGGACGTGATGGATTTTAGCAGGGAGCTAACGAGTGCAGCTGAGCACCAACGTCTCCGGTGCACACGACCCGGGCCTGGGGACGCGACGCCCTCTCACTCCGCTGCCCGGGTCCTGGGTGTGTCACTGGAAACAGGCTGCCCGAAGGAAGAGGTGCAGACGCGCCTGAGACTCGTGTGCCTTCAGCCGGGGCCTGGGGCCGCCCGTGTGGAGGACACCGCGGCCCATGGACACTGGGCCTTGCTGCGCCCACCGGAGGCGCTCTCTGCACAGCTGCTGGCAGGCAGCGGGGCTGTGGCTCCTCCCCAAGGGACACGGGAACCCCCCCAATCTTCCAAAGGGGGAACAGCACACAGAACCAGCTCCTCTCCTGGAAGATAACAGACCACGCGGCTCTTCAGACACACAAGCACAACCCGTGTGAAAAGCAGACGTCAGGGTCAGGAGCGCCGGTGTGGGGTGAGGCAGTGTGGTCCCCGCTCACCCCAGGGCTATCCCTGAGCCAGGCCGGGTTCTCCGGTGCTCACAACACGCTCGCGAGAGAGGGGAACTCTGAAACGTGTAGGACCGAGTCGCGGGTGAGGCCCACTGTGCACCTGCCGCGGATGCTGCGCACCCCCAGGTGAAGGCAGGGGTTGGACGCCGTCGCCCAAAGCTGGGGGTGACACCACGAGCGCCGATGGGGGGTGGCTCCCTCCCCACCACCAGGCTGCAGCTTTCGGGGGCCGGGAACACGACAGTCGGGGGAAGAGCCGCCCTGCGAGGCCCCAGCGCTGTCCCCCGCCCCCCGGGGCCCGCCCCGCACACTCACTCTCTTTGCCTTTCTCCTTGTTCTTGAGCTGCTGAAGCTTCTGCTCCCGGTGCTGCTTCTCCAGCTCCTGCTCCTGGCGATGCCTCTCCAGCTTCCGCTGGTGCTCGAGCAGCTCCTGCTGATGCTTCATGGCCAGCAGCTCCTGCTGTTGCTGCGAGCAGGGAAGGAGGAGACAAAGACGGTCAGGGACTCACCCCAGACAGGACCGCACGCGCACACGCACACGCACACCCACGATCAGCAGAGGGCCACGCGTCTCCACGCAGGCGTCGCCCCGGCACGAGGCTGTCCTTGCACAGCCAGCACCTCGGACACACGGAGTACGGGGGCTCGAAGCCCTGCACGCACGGCTGCTGGCTTGGTAAGTGTTACAAACAAACATAAAAACCAGCGAGCTGCTAGAAGAAAACACCCATGAAGATCCGGGTGCTCTCCCTGGGTGGGCATGGTGCGTGGGGAGCAACACGGCTGCCTTGCAAAACTGGGAAAAGCTGCTCATCCAGGTAGATGCGCCTCCGCCCCAGGACCCAGCAGCCCTGCCCTCAGACTCGCCCGGGGCCGCGTGGACACATCTGCACACGGGCGGCTTGCTCACGACGGGCCGGGCTGGACGCGCCGTGGACCCGGGCCAACTGTGCGCCCATTTGCTGGAAAGCCACCAGCAACGGGAGATCCCTGATAACACGGACGGGCTGGGGATGCACAAAACACCCAGGCTGATGGTGCCGATGGGCTTGTGGGGAAAAGAGTCGCCCTCAAAGGTCCCCCGTAGGTGAGGTTGTGGCAGGGACGTCCGGGGACCCGGCGGCAAAGCCACGGGCTGCGTCTGTGCCCCGCCTGAACACCGTGAGCTCGTACCCCTTCTCCTTGTTGTGGGTCCTGGTTCCACGGCCCCTCTGGGCGGGCGGCTGTCGGGTTCCCTGTGCGGGACGAGGGCGACACTGGCAGCCCCAGCAGCCCAGAACTTTCTAGTGAGGAAATCTAACACAGGTGTCCTCCTAAATCCGAGCCATCAAATGTCTAGATGGGGACAGCGGCACATGCGTCTGGCGGCTCACGGGGACTACGGTGCCTACCTAGTGACCGGCCGGGGACATCGAGGCCCGCGGGGGCCAGTGGGCCGGGCCTGGAGCACGAGGCCTGGTGTCGGAAAGGCAGGGGAAGGGGAACATGGAGTGAGCGGGACCGGGCGGTGGCTGTGCAGGGCAGGACCGGCACCCTCGCATCTCCCGCGGTCCCGTAAGGAAGGCATTGTGCTCTCAGGTCAGCAGGTTACGACGGAAGGGACAGGCTGGCAAGAGGGGGCAAAGTTGAGGGGTTGGGGTCCCAGCGGGGCGGCCAGGACGGAGTGAGGCCTACAGGGCTCTGTCCCCAGCACCGCTGCCCAGGCCCCCGTGATGTGCTGGAGGGTCTCGGGGCGGGGGAGCAGGGAGGCCACCCAGCGTTCTGCGCAACCGTCCCTGCGCCCAGCAAGAGTCGTCAACAGGGAGACGTGTGAACAAGCCCCGGGTGTGAGCGTGGGCGCGTGACGGAGCCCTCACGGGGACGTCTGCTGCCCTGGGGAGTGCGTCCCGGGACACGGGATTCCTGCCGGCCCCTCACCAGCCAGCTCGTGCTCCGATGCCTGCTGCACCGGCACCGGCCAGCTCTGGGGGCTCAGCACCGGGAGCCCCTGCTGCGGGGGGGCAGGTCCAGGCAGCAGAGAGGGCGCGGGCCCCGCCTCCCCCCAGAGGCCGCAGGGAATGGGGGAGAGGTGCCTCCCCGGGGCCCCGCCTGGCCTCCTGGGCCCCGTTCCCATGATGCCATCGCCACAGTGTAGAAATCACCCAGTTTCTGTTCCCGACCGGCGCATCGCGTAAATGAACCGGATTTCAGATTGCTTAGAGCTCTCTTCTGCGGAGACGCGGTACATCACCCACCATGCCTGAGACTTCTGCGAGGTTCCAATCACATCACACGGAAAACGTTGAAAGAAAAAGAACATCATTACAGAGATCTAAAAAATGAGCACTCTCCTTCTCCAAACAGAGCCTACACCCCAGGAGTGGGAGCACGTGTGCCAGCCAATAAAAGGGACGTCCACCAAAACCTCAGACGAAGGCGGTAATAACAGTTAGTGAGCAAAGGGAACGAACCGCCAACGTGTAAGCGGGGGCCGCGCGTGCGGGACGCCCCGGGGCACGGGCAGGCAGGCTGCAGGAGGCTCCCCGCCCGGCCTCCAGGCCGACCCCGCGCACCGCCCTGGCCCTCAGCCTCCCGCCTGGGCCCTGCTGCGGGGACAGTGGCCTGAGTGGCCCACAGGACTCAGGGCCAGGCTGCTCTCACACAGCAGCGCCCCAGCAACTCTCACTGCAGGGGACCCACGAACCCTCCGTGGACTCAGCCGCCTCCCACCTTCTGCAACGGGAGGAGGCTCCTTTCCAGCCAGGGACACAGGGATAGAGCAGCGGGAGGGACGTGCTGCGGGACCCAAGACCAGCGCAGGGGGAGGAGGAGGAAGGGGAGATGCATCCAGGATGGGAGCGTGTGTCCGGACCCCCGGCAACGGCGTGCCCTTCCCGTGGGACGGGCTGCTCCGGGACGGCTGGTGGGCCGCAGGTGTGACGGGGAGGGCCAGGAGGAAGGGGCCCAGGGACACCGACAGTCCTTTTCAGACCTGTCCTAGGAACAGAAATCCCATTCCAAAGGGCCCCTGACATGAACGGGAGGCAGGGAGCCGATTCCTGGCGTTGCTGGCAGAGGAGGGGCAGGTGGTGCCAGGCAGGGCGGTGGGCAGGGCGGCCCCGGCTGAGGGCACCTCTGCGGATCCTCAGGGCCGCAGGGCTGTGTGTGGCGGGTCAGACACACCCCGGGCTGCGGCCGGCCCGGGCCTGCGTCGTCGTCGGGGCTCCGCTGCATCCTCGGGACCTCCAGAGGCGCACAGCCCGGAGGGCAGGCCCGCGCGGCAGCCAACTCGGCGGGATGCTGAACGGGAGCTCCTACAATCAGGTGCCCCCTTCCCCGGCCTCCCCACGCCCCGAGCTGCCCTCACGCCGCCCCGGGTTCCCTTTCAACTGCTTGGTGTTCGTCTGATGTGCAAATGAGGGGCAGGTGGAAATTCACTTAATAGAGTCTCAAAATATTTACTTTCCAGCCAGAACCCAGAAGGAAAGTGAGATCTTTCAATTATCGTCACAAAAAGGCCGTAACATCCCCCACCAGATACTGGCGATTAGAATTCACAGGATGATCAAACTCCCAGAGACGATACGGCCCTGGAGTCTTCATGGATGTGGCAGCTAAGAACGAGGACGTGACTCGCCCAAGTGCCCCAGAGCTGCCCTGCGGCATCTGGTGGAGGGGGCGGAGGCCGGGGCAGGGACACCCCCACACCGGGGCCCTGGCGCGAGCCTGGAGGTGGCACTCGTCACCCCCGGTGTCACCACGCACGTCGGGCCCGTCTCTGCATCTCGCGACAAAGCCGTCCTCTGTGCTCCCAGCTTCTGGAAGATGAGGCAGAGGCACAAGGTGAGGGACGCCGCTCACGTCCGGCACTCGCGGCGAGGCCCCGAGGGAGGGACAAACGTGCCCCCGGGGCCAGCCCTCAGGCAAAGTCCACGTGGTCACTCACAGCTGCTGCCTCGGCCACAGGGGTGGACGTCACACCGTGCGGGCGGAGGAGTCTTCGGAAACGGTTCTCTCGCAGATTCAAACGCGTGCGAGTGATTCAAAGTACGATGCGCACCAGTCACGACGGGCACCGTGACTCCAACCAGGGTTTAGTGCTGAATTTTTTTGTTTAAGGCGACGACGCTGAGCTCAGGATAAAAAATCAGATCCCGGGAATGCAGTTTCTCCGATCCGACCCGGGCGTCTCCCGGCCAACGCTGACGCGGAAACCCCAGCGGATGGATCTTCACTCGCAGGGATCCGCTGAGATGGAGCCCCGCGAGCCAGCTCCTGACCCGCTCGGGGCCCTGCCCCAGTCCTCGCGGCCACGGAGGACGAGGGGCACACGCCTAGCAAGCCGGGGCCCGTGAAAGCGCGTGACTGCCACCCGCGTCGTCCCCACGGGCTGCTCACAGCGCTGCTGAACCGGCCTCGCTGGCCCGGGGTCCTGAGAAATGGTAACGCTGACACCACGGGGGCTCGAGGAGCCCAGCTGCCGGGGGCCCGCCCGGGAGCAGGTGCGCTGTGGCGGCCTCATAGCACATCGGGGTGACCCGAGGCCACATGTGCACCGGGTGGGGGGACGCCCAAGGAGGTCACAAGGCCACACGCACGAGGACCCCCAGGGCCAAGGGCCCCAGGAATGAACAGTGGGCTTCTTTCTGAAGTCGAGGGTACCTGCCTGGTCTTAAGCATACACGCGGCCTCCTGCAGCCGATGTGCAAGTGAGCACGACCAGGGCAGCCGCCCCGACCCCGCCTCTCGGAAGGTACGGACCGGACACCCGGGGCCCCCGCAGCCCAGTCACACGCCTCCATGTTGGCCTCACGCAAAACCAGCCGTGAGCACTGTCCCATCTCCCTGACGCTAAGTGGCCTCAGCAGGAATATCCCTCAGGTGGACTAACCACTAGCTCCGACCTGCTCCGTGCCCGGCCGCCCTACTGCTACACTAGGCCGCGGAGGATGCGTCCCGGGGACCGCGTGAAGGGGGCATGTGGGGACCCACCAGCCAGCCTCTGCGGCGCCCCTGCTCCCAGCTCGGCCCCTGACCGCACACGATGGCTGCGTCCCCCTCCGCTTCACGTCCTCCTTTGCCGGGGGCCCGGGCCGGCGGGGTGCCACACCTAGACACAGGACATCAGGCCAGGAGGGAGGAAGGAGGGGCGGCAGGCTTCACAGATGGATGGCTGGTGCCCGGGGCCGGACCCACACGCCCACGTCCCCGCCATGCGCAAGGCCAGCGCGGGCCTGCTCTGCTACCGAAGCAGGTCCCACGGGCCTTCCTCGCGCTGCGTTGGAAAGGAAGGGGGCAGGCGAGGGTGCAGGCCTGCGAGCTGCCTCTCCCCAGGGCCCCCGCCTGCCCCCAGGGCCTGGTGTCTGCCTCACTAAACAGAAGGACGGACAGTCGGGCACGAGTAACTACCACCTGCTTCCCTGGGTGGCTTAGGTGGATCCTTCAACACTGTAAGAGCCTGGCGTGGTCAGTGCCCACAGAGGGGCT